AATTAGATCCCATTTGTCAATTTTGACTTTTGTTGCCATTGCTTTTAGTGTTTTAGTCACGAAGTCTTTGCCCATGCCTATGTCCTGAATGGTTTTGCCTAGGTTTTCTTCTAGGGCTTTTATGTGTTAGGTCTCATGTTTAAATCTTTAATCTATCTGGAGTTAATTTTTGTATAAGGTGAAAGGAAGGGATCCAGTTTCAGCTTTCTGCATATGGCTAGCCAGTTTCCCTAATGCCATTTATTAAATTGGGAATACTATCCCCATTGCTTGTTTTTGTCAGCTTTGTCAAGAGTCAGATGGTTGCAGATGTGTGGCGTTATTTCTGAGGCTTAGTTCTGTTCCATTGGTCTATACCTGTGTTTTGGTACCAGTACCATGCTATTTTGATTACTGTAGCCTTGTAGTGTAGTTTGAATTCAGGTAGTGTGAGGTTTTCAGCTTTATTATTATTATTATTATTATTATTATTATTATTATCTTTTGCTTATGATTGTCTCGGCTATGCAGGCTCTTTTTTTGTTCCATATGAAGTTTAAGATTTTCTCTTTTTTTCCAATTCTGTGAAGAAAGCCAATGGTAGCTTGATGGGGATAGCATTGAATCTATAAATTTCTTTGGGCAGTATGGCCATTTTTCATGATACTGATTCTTCATAACCGTAAGCATGGAGTGTCTTTCCATCTGTTTGTGTCCTCTCTTATTTCCTTAAGCAGTGGTTTGTAGTTTTCCTTGATCCTTATTAGTTGTATTCCTAGGTATTCTATTCTCTTTGTAGCAATTGTGAATAGAAGTTCACTCATGATTTGGCTTTCTGTTTGTCTGTTATTGGTGTGTAGAAATGCTTGTGATTTTTGCATATTGATTTTGTATCCTGAGATTATGCTGAAGTTGCTTATTGCTTAAGGAGATTTTAGGCTGAGATATTGGGGTCTTCTTAATATACAATCATGTCATCTGCAAATAGAGACAATTTGATTTCCTCTTTTCCTAATTGAATATCCTTTATTTCTTTCTCTTGTCTGATTGCCCCAGCCAGAACTTCCAATACTATGTTGAATAGAAGTGATAAGAGACACCATCATTGTCCTATGCTAGTTTTCAAAGGGAATGCTTCCAGTTTTTGCCCATTCAGTGTGACGTTGGCTGCAGTTTTGTCATAAATAGCCCTCATTATTTTAATATGTGTACCATCAATATCTAGTTTATTGAGAGATTTTAGTATAAAGGGCTGTTGAATTTTGTCGAAGGCTTTCTCTGCATCTATTGAGATAATCATGTGGTTTTTGCCTTTGGTTCTGTTTATATGATGGATTATGTTTATAGATGTGTGTATGTTGAACCAGACTTGCATCCCAGGGATGAAGCTGACTTGATAATGATGAATATGCTTTTTGATGTTCTATTGGATTTGGTTTGCCAGTATTTTACTGAGGATTTTTGATTCAAAATTCACCATGGATATTGGCCTCAAAATTTCTTTTTTAGTTGTATCTCTGTTAGGTGTTGGTATTAGGATGATGTTGGTCTCGTAAAATGAGTTTGGCAGGAGTCCCTCTTTTTGTATTGTTTGAAATAGTTTCAGAAGGAATGGTGCCAGCTCCTCTTGGTACCTCTGGTAGAATTCAGCTATGAACCCTTCTGGTTCTGGACTTTTTTTGGTTGGTAGGCTATTAATTGCTGCCTCAATTTCAGACCTTGTTATTGGTCCATTCAGGGATTTTACTTATTCCTGATTTAACCCTGGGAGAATGTAAGTGTCCAGGAATTTATCCATTTCTTCTAGATTTACTGGTTTATTTGCATAGAGGTGTTTGTAGTAATCTCTGATGGTAGTTTGTATTTCTGTGGGATTGGTAGTGATATCCCCTTTATCATTTTTTATTGCATCTAGTTGATGCTTCTCTTTTTTCTTCTTTATTATTATGGCTAGTGGTCTATCTATTTTGTTGATCTTTTCAAAAAAACACCTCCTGAATTCACTGATTTTTTGAAAGCTTTTTTCTGTCTCTAGCTCCTTCAGTTACCCTCTGTTCTTAGTTATTTGTTGTCTTCTGTTATCTTTTGCATTTGTTTGATCTTGCTCCTCTAGTTATTTTAATCATGACATTAGGATGTCAGTTTTAGATCTTTCCTGCTTTCTCTTGTGGGCATTTAGTGCTATAAATTTCCCTCGAAACACTGCTTTAAATGTGGTCCAGAGATTCTGGTATGTTGTGTCTTCATTCTCATTGGTTTTGTAGAACATCTTTATTTCTGCCTTCATTTATTTATTTATCCAGGAGACAGGTTGTTCAGTTTACATGTAGTTGTGCAGTTTCGAGTGAGTTTCTTAATCCTGAGTACTAATTTGATAGCACTGTGGTCTGAGAGACTGTTATGATCTCCATTCTTCTGCATTTGCTGAGGAGTGTTTTACTTCCAATTGTATGGTCAATTTTAGAATAACTGTGATGTGGTGCTGATAAGAACATATATTCTGTGGATCTAGGGTGTCTGCAGATGTCTATTAGGTCCGCTTGTTCCAGATCTGAGTTCAAGTCCTGGATATCCTTGTTAATTTTCTGTTTCATTGATCTGTCTGATATTGACAGTGGGATGTTAAAGTCTCACTGTTATTGTGTGGGAGTCTAAGTCTCTTTTTAGGTCATTAAGAACTTGCTTTCTGTATCTGGGTGCTCCTATCTTGGGTGCATATATATTTAGGATAGTTAGCTCTTGTTGTTGCATGGATCCCTTTACCACTATGTAATGCTCTTCTTTGTCTCTTGTGATCTTTGTTGGTTTAAACTCTGTTTTATCAGAGACTTGGATTGCAACCCCTGCTTTTTTTTTTTTTTTTTTTGGCTCTCCATTTGCTTGGTAAATCTTCCCCCATCCCTTTATTTTGATCCTATGTGTGTCTCTGCATGTGAGATGGGTTTCCTGAATACAGCACACCAATTGGTCTTAATTCTTTATCCAATTTGCCAGCCTGTGTGTTTTGATTGGGGCTTTTAGCCCATTTACATTTAAGGTTAATATTGTGATATGTGAATTTGATCCTGCCATTTTGATACTAGCTTGTTGTTTTGCCTGTTAGTTGATGCAGTTTCTTCATAGTGTTGATGGTCTTTACAATTTGGTATGTTTTCAGAGTGGCTGGTACTGGTTCTTCTTTTGATGTTTAGTGCTTCTTTCAGAAGCTCTTGTAAGGCAAGCCTAGTGATAACAAAATCTCTCAGCAGTTGCTTGTTCATAAAGGATTTTATTTCTCCTTCACTTGTGAAGCTTAGTTTGGCTGGATATGAAATTCTGGGTTGAAAATTCTTTTCTTTAAGAATATCGAATATTGGCCCCCACTCTTTTCTTGCTTAAGGTTTCTGCTGAGAGATCCACTGTGATTCTGGGATTCCCTTTGTGGGTAACCTAACCTTTCTCTTTGGCTGCTCTTAGCATTTTTTTCTTCATTTCAACCCTGGTGAATCTGATGATTATGTGTCTTAGGGTTGCTATTCTCAAGAAATATCTTTGTGTTTTCTCTGTGTTGCCTGAATTTGAATGTTGGCCTGCCTTGCTAAGTTGGGGAAGTTCTCCTTGATAATATATTGAAGAGTGTTTTCCAACTTAGTTTCATTCTCCCTGCTACTTTCAGGTACACCAATCAAACATAGATTTGGTCTTTTCACATAATCCCATATTTCTTGGAAGCTTTCTTCATTTCTTTTCACTCTCTTTTCTCTAATCTTGCCTTCTGGCTTTATTTCATTGAGTTGATCTTCAATTTCTGATATCCTTTCTTTCACTTGATTGATTCGGCTTTTGAAACTTGTGTGTGCTTCGCAAAGTTCCACCAAGTCGTTTATGTTCTTCTCTATGCTGGTTATTCTAGTTAGCATTTTGTCTAACCTTTTTTTAAGGTTCTTAGCTTCCTTGCATTGGGTTAGAACGTGCTCCTTTAGCTCGAAGAAGTTTGCTTCTGAAGCCGGCTTCTGTCAATTCATCAAACTCATTCTCCATCTAGTCTTGTTCCCTTGCTAGTGAGGAGTTGTGATCCCTTGGAGGAAAAGATGCATTTTAGTTTTTGGAGTTTTCAGCCTTGTTGTGCTGGTTTCTTCCTATCTTCATGGATTTATCTACCTTTGGTCTTTGGAGTTGGTGACCTTTGGATGAGGTCACTGAGTGAATGTCCTTTCTGTTGATGTTGAAACTATTTTTTTCTGTTTGTTAGTTTTCCTTCTAACATTCAGACCCCTCTGCTGCAGGCCTGCTGAAGTTTGCTGGAGGTCCACTCCAGACCATGCTTGCCTGGGAATCACATGTACTGGCTTCAGAACAGTAAAGATTGCTGACTGTTCCTTTCTCTGGGAGCTCTATTCTAGAAGGGTACCTGCTAGATGCCAGCCAAAGCTCTCCTGTATGAGATGTCTGTTAGCCCCTGCTGGAAGGTGTCTCCCAGTCAAAATACATGAGGGTCAGGGAGCCATTTGAGGAGGCAGTCTGTCCCTTATCAGAGCTCGAGTGCTATGCTGGGAGATCCATTACCCCATACAGAGCTGCTGGGCAGAGATGTTTAAGTCTGCTGAAGCTGAACCCACAAATGCCCCTTTTCCCAGGTGCTCTGTCCCAGGAAGCTGGGGCCTTTATTTATAAATTCCTGATGGGCTGCTGCTTTTTTCAGAGATGCCCTGCCCAGCAAGAAGGGAGTCTAGTGACACTGTCTGCCTGCAGTGGCCTTGCTGAGCTGCCATGGGCTCCACTGAAAAATACAAAATCTTTAGCCAAAATGGAAGACTGATGAATAATGAACTGATGATGTTAATGTTTCCTCTAGATTAACTGGCCTTTATATGAATTAGAAAAATATTTTCTTAATACTTGAGACTTCTAAGACTTAATACTTCTAAGACTTCAGAAACTAGATCAAAGATTTAACTAGATGACTTTTTTCATCAATGCAAACTATTACACCAGAGTGTTTGTTCTGAATATAATATATTTACCCTCTGTCTCCTTTTCAGATTGTATGTACTTTAATCATAAATGTCTTCTGCATAATGACTACAATCATTGCTGTAACTCTAACAATAATTGAGTTGTCTCATTTTAAGTCTGTGTCATATAGGAATTATGGACAAGCGGTAAGTGACCAATTCTATGGGAACATATTAATTTTTAAATGATTCTTTTTAATGATTTTGATAATGATTTTAAATTATTCTTTTTAATGATATCTTAGGAAGTAACATGAGGCTTTTATTGATCCTCATGAAATTCTTTGATTTTCTAATGAGCTCTTGATTGAAAATTTTAAATCAAAAAATTCTAAACTGTGGGTTTTAGTAAGTATTAAAAGAATATTTGAATTCTTGACTTGCTGAATTAAACTAAATAAAAATGTGAAACCTTCAATGGTAAGTGTCTGTGTTTTAGGCACAGAGTAATTTAATGATTCTCTTAATACAAGAAAAGTATAATCCTGGACCATAAAACCATTTTGCAAATAAACAAAAATATTCTGCTACTGACACATACAGTTCTAATTGTAGACACCTAGTAATTTCTGGCTTAACATAGAGCTTTTCATATATAGCATATCTTTGCATCTTATGTGAATTTTGCTTTAGGTCCAAAAATGCTAAATATAAATAAGCCTAGCTTGTTTCCATTTAGTTATCCAGTAAATGTGAAGATTTTTCCTACTAACACAATAGATTTATTTTAATTATATTGGTTTTAAATTCAGAATCATAGAATATAGTGCTGCAAAAGACCTTAGCAAAGCTCATTTAAAAAGACTCACATTTAAAATGAGGAAATTGGAGTGAAACACCTTGTTTTATCAACAGAACAAAACAAGTAGCAATTTCAGTAATGAGTAGAAGAGTCACTGCAGGTGGAGGATAAACTTCCTCCTCCTCCCCTACACACTTCCTCTCCATACCTGTGACATGTTATTAAAGGGGTCATCAGAGGAAAGAATCCAAACCTGGAGAACAAAACCCTGGAGGACAGTGAGAAATAATAGAAAAATGCAATAATACTCCAAAATATATTATGTGTAATGAGTGATTATTTAAACAAACATGGATTTTTCCTGTAAATTGTAAGAAAATTGTCCAGTTGCCCTAGACATTCAATTTAGGAACCTTTAGTTCTAATTTTGGGGGTAGAGAATAGGGAAGGAGGACTTAAGTTATTAAGTGCACAATTGTTTCAAGTTATATGTCATCAACCATCTTATCCATAAACTTTTAATCATCAGTTCAATACGGCATAATTGCCAAGGATTGCCTTTTGCAGTCAGTGTTACAAACAACTGTAGTCTATATTTATCTGAATAATGATCAGTTTTACAATCTCTCAAAATCACAAGCTTCAGCACAAGTTTGCTGTGATTAGTTACACAAAATGAACTTGTATATTAGAATTATATCTCTAAGCCACCAACTTTTTCTAGTGGCATTATAGAATTATATACTTACGCTTGCTAAGACAGCCAACATTTTACAGGAATTTTGCATGCCAATTTTTCTAACATGAACAAGGGGCTTGTTTATGTTACAAACTTATCAAGTTATCTGTGTTCCCAGGCAGGGTCAGAAAAGTGCATGCATCTGAAATATGTTCCTCATATAGCAAAATGGTTAAATAGTATAAACTCCAGAATCAGAGAGCACTTATTTAATACTGTCCTCAGTACTCCCTGTGTGTAACCCCCTGGAAATTTTTTTTAACTTCCCTGTTTCCAAGTTTTATTTTATGTAAAATGAAGAAAATGCCTGTTAGTTAAGTGCTCTGTTCTTTCTTCCAAACTCCCGGTCTGTTGTTTTAAAGGCTAGCTTGACTTTTCTATTTGGCTCTGCTTCTATCACTATTGTATCAAACTCCACAGATATAAAATGGAAATTATTTACCTCCTCCTAAGTACTATACTGCAAGACTTTTTTGTTTCAATCTCCTACACACAAAACCTTGATGTAATACCTCATCTTTCTACTGTCTTTATAATTATCAAATATTGTTTATTCTTTTAAGTATTTATGAATTAGGGTTATCTTGGCTTTAATTAACAGGAAATTCCACCCAAGTTGACTTAAGACAAAAAGGGTCACTTACTGACTTAAGCTTGGTCCAGAAGCTAGCTTACAGTTTACATCATCTGCCAGGGTGCCAAGGACCCAGGGACTCATTCTCATTCTCTCTCTCTCTCTCTCTCTCTCTCTCTCTCTCTCTTTCTGTGTGTGTGTGTGTGTGTGTGTGTGTGTGTGTGTATGTGTGCACGCACACACGTGCGTGTCTCCTCAGTTGTTTTCATATTTGAGCTGCTCTGGCTGACCTTTTGCCACTTTCAGTCAGGGAGAGAGTTTTAAAATAGCACTCTCATATAAATTCTCATATAAATTAAGGAATACGGGGCCGAGCTTGGTGGTTTACGCCTGTAATTCCAGCACTTTGGGAGGCCAAGGCAGGCAAATCACTTAAGGTCAGGAATCCAAGACCAGCCTGGCCAACATGGTGAAACACCATCTCCACTAAATATATAAAAGTTAGCCGGGCATGGTGGTGGGCGCCTGTAATCCCAGTTACTTGGGAGGCTGAGGCATGAGAATTGCTTGAACACAGGAGGCAGAGGTTGTAGTGAGCCAAGATTGTGCCACTGTACTCTAGCCTGGGTGATAGAGTGAGACTCGGTCTAAAAAAAATTTTAAATTAAAAAATTAAAAAATAATAATGAATATGGGCAAAGTGACTCTTCACAGTCTTGTCATCTAAGAGGTCAGAAGTACTTTCTAGCTAAAATCTTATGATTGTGCGTTTCTGCCAACAAAATTAAATCAAAATTATTTACCTTGGTGTTTCATACCTTCTACATCTTTTCCTTATCATCCTGTTTATTTCATATATAAATGAACACTATGTTTCAGTTAAAACATGTTTTACCATTTTCTCAAAATGTTATATTGCTTACATTCAGTTTTGTTCTCACATTAAAAACCATAGGTTGTTCTGATATATATCTTAGCTTTACTATTGGTTCTATTTTATGTCTCAATTTTAAAATTATTTTGTCATACTTTTAATTTATGCTATTAAACTTCTTCTGAAACAAGATAGGTTACAAAGAAAGAAGCAAATACAAATAGTTGCCTAGAATGTTGCTTACTCCCTTCATTTTTCTCAGTCCTACTCTTATTTTAAATGTCTTACCACTTTGTGAAGCCTTCCCAGAGACTAATAGCTTAGAGTGAACCTCCTGTTCTCAATAATAATTGAGCAAGTTTTTATCCATTTTATATGGTACCTTATATTGTCTTTCTATCTCTTCTACTTTATTATAAACTCTGAGAAATCAGGAAGTTTTTATGTGTCATTGCATTCCTATCATCTACTCCTTACCACCAGATAGTTTCTTGAATATAAAAGATATTAAATAAATACAACAAAGAAGGAGGAGGAAGAGTTAGAGAAGAAATTGGAGGGGAGTGAATTATGATGTCATTATTTCTAGATACAGCCAGCACAAAACCCATGTTTTCAGGATAAGCACTGATATTATTCACATAACTAACCAATCGGATTTGTAGTTGAAAATATTTGTTTTATTTATTCCAGCAACCACAGTCATCTATGCTTCCAAGTTAAATGTTCTTTGAACTCGTTTTCAATTTACTAATCATTTTAAATGATATTAGAGCAATATCTATGTGAGAGTTTTATCACCACATACGTAAATTTGAGAAGGGCTGTCATTAAGAATAGCAGCTTTAAGAGAAAAGGATTGCTTGATAAATCTGTTGGTGGCCACCTTATCATGAGAGACAGGAGACTCAAATCTTAGTAACTGAAGAGTTTAGATAGTGAGCTGTGCCAACAACTCTGTAAAAGGTGTCAGAAGTGAGACAAGAATGCTAAGCAATGGAGATCAAGTACAGAAGCCACAGATGCTGAACTGAGGAACTGAAAGCTAGAGAAAGTGTAGCAGAGGGCAGAGGAGTAGAAATGCCTAAGGAAAGCAAATGGTGAAGGGTTTATCTGTTCTTATTTTCCTTCCTGTTTTTGACTCTCATACCAGTAGCTCCTTCCATGATCATGATTGCACCCACTAAAGATAATAACATAAGATTCCTCCCTGTTTTTTGGTTATAGAAACTTGGAAGGGAAGTATCACGTATTTTACTGTTCTTCTATCCTTTGGAATTTTCTATTGCACTTGCATACTCAATATGTAGCTGTTGTAAGTTGGTAAGTATTTACCCACTCTCTGGCAAATCAAACATGTTGATTTCTGGTAAGCACACTCTATGAGGAGATGAAGTGCATTGATACAAAATGTTTAGAACTAATAAAAATTGAATGTGTGGTATTTCCTTTATTTTTTATTTTTGTTTTATAAATAGAAGACATAAAGTTATACAAGTAATACATAAAACTAAATTTAAATGTAAAAAGCATATAGAGTAAAAACTGTTTCCTTAATATAATCTACATCATACCCACACATCCAATTCTATACAAAAAAAGACAAATACACACACATTTTCTTTTTTACTAATTGTACGTATTATATTCACATTGCTTTGTCACATGCATTTTTGCAATAATTAGAAATATCTTTCCATTACAAAACATATCTAAATAATGCCTTTTATTACCTTCATTGTTTTTCTTAGCATTAAACATTCCCTAACTACTGCATATGTAGCTTTGTTTCCAGTTTTTTCTAAAGTATAAACAATGATAAAGTGAACATATAAATAGAAATATTTTTGCATACAGAACCACTATTTCTTTAGGTGGTTGATTCCTAGAAATGTAATTTCCATATCAAGTTTAACATCCCCAAATACTATAACAACTCACAAAAGTTTATGAGAATGATTATTTTCTCACAAGCTTAAAAGACTATATTACTTACAATTCACTCATTCATTCTTGAATATTTATGGAAAGCATGCTATTTGCTAGGCATTGTAATAGGTACTAAGGATGCAATGATTAACAAAATAATGTTCTTTCCATTAAGGAGCTTGCATTCCATTGTGGGAGAAAGGCAATCAACAAACACATAAAAATATAAAATAATGTCAAGTGGTGAAAAAATATTATGGAGTAAAATAAAGCAAAGTAAGGAGATAAGGCAAGATTATTTTACATAGAATGGTCAGGGAAGACTACTGCAATCAACAACCAATTGAAATACAGAAACAACTATAAGACTATATGGTAAAAGTATTTTTAGAGAGAGGGAATGAGTTTCATTTCCAGAATGGCTGATTGAAGACATGGCAACTCTCCCTAAAAATGAAATTATAAAACTAAACAAAATTGTCAATAAACAACCTTCTAAAGATTAAGGAAGTTGGCCAAGCATACAAGAAATTGACAAGTGTTTATTTATGAAAATCTGCTGGGCCTCAATAAGAACAGTGGATGTCTGTGGCATGTTTGGGACTTTCCTGCTCTTCCCACCTGTAATGGTTAGGCTTTGTGTCCCCATCCAAATCTCATCTTGAACTGTAATCCCCAGGTGTTGGGGGAGGATCCTGGTGGGAGAAATCGAATCATGGGGGCAGTTTTCCCCATGATATTCTCATGGTAGTGAATGAGTTCTCATGAGATCTGATGGTTTTATAAGTGCTTAGCAAGTTCCTCATTCATTCACTCTTCTTTCTCCTGCTGCCATGTGAAAAAAGTCCTTGCTTCTCTATTGCCTTCTGCCATGATTGTAAGTTTCCTGAGTCCTCCCCAGCCGTGTGGAACTGTGCGTCAATTAAATCACTTTCCTTTATAAATTACCCAGTCTTAGGAAGTTCATTATAGCAGTGTGAAAGGGACTAATACACCAGCACCCTCAGATTCCGTTACACAGAAGTTACATTGGTGGGTCAGACTGTGACCCCCAGCAGCCTCACAGCTTGAGATAACTAGTTTTATATGGAGCAGAGGTCAGAAATTTCCATGAGGGTTGTTAAAACAACAGTAATCCCTGTGGCAAACAAGCAGATAAAGCCAATGTCACTCCTAGCCTGACTAAGATCACAATACTTTGGGACAAAAAGTGTACTGCAACCAGTCGGAAACTTAACAGAGAAATTCGGAGAACAGGACAGTCACAGTGGACCTTGATAACATCCTACTTATCCCCTATGGTCTGGAAGAATATAAATACGTGCAAAGCTATACACATACTAAGGAGACTGAAGAAGGTCCTAGTGAGCCCTTGGTTGAACAAGAGGCCTTGCAAAAATAAAGTAAAAGCTGGAGCAGCCTAAACTTTGAATATATTGCTCAAGCTATATATTGAGAAAGGGTGGAAGTCTTACTGGCTTAAGGTATCTAATACTTTCCTAGAGCTTTTATAACAAAGCACCACAGATTGTGTGGCTTAAACAACAAATTTATTTTTCTCACAATTCTAGAGGCTTGAAGTTCAAGATCAAGGTGTTGGCAGGGTTAGTTTATTCTGAGGCCTTTATCCTTGGCTTTCACTTGGCTGTCTTCTCCCCGTGTCTTCACATGGTCTTCTCTCTTTATGTGTCTGTGTCCTAGCCTCTTATAAGCACACCAATCATATTCTATTGGGGCTCATTCTAATTACCTCATTATAACTTCAATGCTACTTAAAAGACCCTATCTCTAAATACAGTCACATTCCAAGTTACTGGGAGTTAGGATTTCTAGTATTCCAAGATACTGGTGGTTAGCAATAACTGCCACTCCTGGGAAATAAGGCAATCAGAATCCAAAATTGCTACCATATATTTTATAAAATATCCAGTTTTCAACAACAAAAAATATGCAAATAATAGGAAATAGTTACCCTTATGGTTCAAAACATTTAATAGATACAGTGTCTTGGAGTGAGGGAAAGACAAATGTTAGACTTAACAAAGAAAGACTTCAAAAATAAGTAAAGTAAATATGTTTGAAGAATTATAGGATGACAAAAATCATTCATCAAATAAAACCCAATAAAAGAGAGAAATTATTTTTTTAAAAAAGTGGAAATTCCAGAGTTTGAAAATACAATAACTGAAATGAAAAACCCACTAGAGGAATTCAAGAGTAGATATGAGCTGACAAAAGACAAAATAAAGAGACATAAAGATAGCAAAAAAGATACTGCCCAGTCCGAAGAACAGAAAAAAAACAAAAAAGAAGAAAACTGAACAGAGCCTCCAAATCCTTTCCGATACCATTCAAATGTATAATGAGAGTCCCATAAAAATGGGGAGAACTGTAAAAATTAAAGAAATAATGGCCCTAAATTCTCCTAATTTCATGGAAAATATTCAATACATCCAAAAAGCTCAATGATCTGCAAGTAAAATAAACACAAAGATCCACTCCTAGACATCTCTATGTCAAACTGATAAAAAAGGAAATCTTGAAAGCAGCAGAAAATAAAATGACACTTCGTATATTAGGGAACCACAGTAAGATTAGCAGCTGGGTTCTCATACAAAACAGTGCAGGCCAGAAGGTAGTGGAGTCGGATATTAAAGTGCAGGGGGTAAAAACAGTAAGGCAGGACTTCTTTATCCTTTAAAACTAATCCTCAAAAATGAAGGCGAAATAGGGACATTCACAGATGGATAATGTGTTGCTAGCAGAAATTTCTTATGAGACACACTAAAGGAAGTTCTTCAGACTGAAAGGAAGTGACATTAGATGAAACTTAAATGCACATGAATAAATTAAAAAGTCCCAGTAAAAGCAATTATGTAGGTGGTTATGAAAATCAGTGTCAATACGTCTTTTGTGTTTTCTTTACTGATTTAAAAGATAGTTGCATTAATTGCACTGGGCTCACCCAAGTAATCCAAGATGATCACCTTAATTTAAGGTTGTGTTATTAGTAACTTTAATCCATCTATCACAACTACTCAGCTCCACCTTTTAGCTTGAAAGTATTCATAGACAATACATAAATGAATGGATATGGCTTGTTCCAGCAAAACTTTATTTAGAAAATGGGCAGTGGGCTAGATTTTGTCCATGTATCATACCAACCCTTCTTCAATAGATAGGTTCTCCTTTTTTCTTTTGAATTTTAACTTACAAGATTATAAAAGCAATAATTATAACACCATGTTGGTAGTTATGTAATATGTATATATAGAATATATGACAATAATAGCACAAAGAAAAGGAAAGAGAATTAGTTATATGGGAACGAAGTTGCTGTATTTTACTGGAATTGAATTAGCATTCATTTGAAGTAGATTGTGATAAATTAGGGTGCTTATTTAGCGATTAAGAAAGCTAAAAAATATTATACCTTAAAAATTAACAAGGGAGTTAACATAAATACAGTATGTTTAATTTAAAAAAAAATAAGAAAGAAAGAAAGAAGAACACAAGGGCCAGTCTTGGTGGCTAACACCAGTATTCCCAGCATTTTGGGAGGCCAAGTCAGGAGGACCATTTGAGCCAGGAGTTCAAGACCAGCCTGGGCAACATGATGAGACTTTGTCTCTACAAAAAAATAAAAATAAAAACATTAGCCAGGCATAGTGGCACATGCCTGTGATCCCAGCTACTTGGGAGGCTGAGGCAGGAGAATAACCCAGGAGGTCAAGGCTGCAATGAGCCATGTTCATGCCACTGCACCCCAGCCGAGGTGATAGAGGAAAACCCTATCAAAAAAAAAGAAGAAAGAAAGAAAGAAAGAAAGAAAGAAAGAAAGAACGAAAGAAAGAAAGAAAGAAAGAAAGAGAAAGAAAGAAAGAAAGAAAGAGAAAGAAAGAAAGAAAGAAAGAAAGGAAAATAAAAGAAATAAAGGCAGACAAAGAAAAGAAAAGGAAAATAAAATATATGAGACCTGTATAAAACAAATAACAAAATGTCAGACATAAATCTATTCCTTGTAATAATAACATTAAAATAAATTAAAATGACAATGAGATATTTTAAAATACCTACTAGGATGACTGAATTTCAAAATACTGATAATGCCAACTAATAGCAAAGATTATGGATAAAAGAAGTATCTCTCATACTCCTAGTTGAAATATAAGTTGCTGCAACAACTTTTAAAACCTTTTGGGCATTACCTTCTGAATATTAAGATGTGCATATCCTATGATCAATAATTTAAGTCCTTGGTATATAACCAACAGCAATGTTGGAGCATATGCATTAAGATAAACTTAAGTTGAGGTATATTACTCTAGTGAAATTTGACATGGTAATTACAAGGAACTATACTTGTATTTAACAAGATAGATGGATCTTATGAATAAAATGTAGAATATAAAAGCTCAAAAGATTCACACTTTTAAAAATCCCATTCATATGAAGTTTGAAACCAGGCAAAACTAAAGCTAAAGTATAGTGTTTGGGGATGCAAGCTTAGTTGATGAAACTAGGGAAAAAATGATAGAATTGATGACCTTATCTAAAAGTCAAAATGATCATTACCTTGAAGGGAAGGAATAGGTAGTAGCTGAGAAATGTCATGAGAGGATAGGGTGCAGGCATCTATTAAGATTTATGCTCAAGAAGACTATGGATATTTTTATTATAAAAGTCTGGAGGTATACAAAAAGTTACAAGTAGGTTGAAGGCTGGGCATGGTGGCTCACGTCTGTAATCCCAACACTTTGAGGATCACTTGAGGCCAGGAGTGCGAGACCAGCTTGGCCAACATGGTGAAACCCTGTCTCCGCTAAAAATACAAAAAAATTATCAAGGCATGGTAGCACAGGCCTGTAATCCTAACTACTCGGGTGGCTGAGGCACAAGAATTGCTTGAGCCTGAGCCTGAGAGGCAGTTGCAGTGAGCTGAGATCATGCCACTGCACTCCAGTGTGGGTGACAGAGTAAGACCTTGTCTAAGGAAGGGGAGGGGAGGGAAGGGGAGGGGAAGGAGGGTGGGAGAAGGGAAGGGGGAGGGGAGGGGGAGAGGGAGGGGAGGGGAGGAAGAATAAAGGCATGGGACAGAAATTGGATACTTTAAGATTTTACTCTATAAATATCAATACTGCCATATTTTTTAAGAAAAATATCTGTTTGTTACTTGTATAAAATTAAGAAACATCATACGATTTGTAAGAGGCTAATTTTTTTCCAGTTTCAAAGACATGAAGGTGATGCTACATCTGTTCCTGAGGAAGCTGAGAGCTCTTTTTAAAAACTCTAGAAATGTAAGAATTTTGCTGTTGCTGATGCCTGATGTGGGTCCTAATGATATCTCTGTATACCAAAGCAGTTATGTGCAAAATAAAATACAAACAAGGTGAATTTTTCTCCTCAGCATTCAAGAAATTTCTCTGCTCATGTTTTTCTAGGCTGCAAGGGGAAAGCTTTTCCCTATTTAAATATGAGATCATTACAGGATGATTTGTTATCTAGGTATTCTGAATAGCTGTCAACTCCCCATAATAGAGCTTTTGTAAGGGACCGTAAAAAAAGATTCATTATTATCTCTAGAGTGAAGGCTATAAAGACTTGGGGCATGCTGCTATATAATTCACAGGAAAACTTTAAATACTTGATGTCCATACAAGTAAAAAGCACATTTTACAATCCGGTTCTTCTACATTAACTAGCTTCTACTTTAACAAAGTATGAATCAAAAGGCCTCTAATTCATATTTTCTTCATTGTGCTTTGACTTCTTTTCTCCTTATTTAAAGTTACTTTCTGCCCTGAACTTACCTGCTGTCTTTCTTATCTTTCTTTCCCCTGGCTTCTTTCTTATCATTGTTTGGATCATCTGTTCAACTGCTTTTCAAAGCAAACAGACTGCCTTTCCAAATCAGGAGAATTTTCTAGAAATCTGTTCTGAATTCAGTTCACTCTCTCTTCTAATGTAGAACATTACCACAGAAAGTTGTTGCACTGTTTGTTACCTAACAATGTAAAGTAAGGTTACTTGAGTCTAAGAATTTCAGCGCTTAGCTCATTTTTTTCAGAGTTTCTACTGTATACCAATGAATAGTGTATTAAACTCAGGAGTATCAACAATTAACAAGGTACCTGATGGCTAGGAGACTTTATTTTAAGGGAGGAAACAAACAGCTAGCAAGTTAAGACTATGTATGACACATAAATTAACAGAGTATAAAAAAGTAGAAATAAGCCGGGTGCAGTGGCTCATGCCTGTAATCTCAGTACTTTGGGAGGCAGAGGTGGGCAGATCACAAGGTCAGGAGTTCAAGACCAGCCTGAACAACATGGTGAAACCTCAGAAATTAGCTGTACATGGTGGCATGCACCTGTAATCCCAGCTACTCAGGAGGCTGAGGCAGGAGAATTGCTTGAAACTGGGAGTCAGAGGTGGCAGTGAGCCAAAATCGTTCCATTGCACTCCAGCCTGAGCAACGGAGTGAAACTCTGTCTCAAAAAGAAAAAGTAGAAATAAGACAGAAGAAATAATAATCCTTCAGATGTGAAATAAGAGGAATAAAGCTGTAGGAAAGACCCCTGAGCAGGGAATTAGTAGTTTACCAAGAAGAAAATTAGGAAGACATTTTGAATAGAAGACTTTAGCTTATTAGAAATGTGGGAGAGATCATAGCTAAAATAAGTATATTAAAACATAATGACATTGTGAAACCCCATCTCTACTAAAAATACAAAAATACAGCTGTGCATGGTCCAGGTACAGTGGTGGATGCCTGTAATCTTGGGAGGCTGTGGTGGAAGAATCACTTGAATCCTAGCTTTGAGACAGAGATTGCAGTGAGCTGAGATGGCACCACTGCACTCCAGCATGGGCAACAAGAGTGAAACTCTGTATCCAAAAAAAAAAAAAAAAAGGCAGGGCAGAATTGGGTAAAATGATAAATTCTATTAGGATAAGTTGACTTTGAGATAACCATGGAACATCAAAGTAGAGATGTCAATTAAGCAGTTTGAAAATACATATATGGAGACAGAGGAAAGATCAGTTATAAATTGATTGGTTGATTTTGATGTTAGTTAAAAACACTGAGAGATGATGTCAGACTAGAAAAATCCTACTCATATCTCCCATAACAACAACAATTCTGCACCCATTCAAAGTCAAAAGTCTCTCTGCAGAAGCCTTGGGATTCAGGTAGGAGTTGTCAAATTCCAGGGGAGCCCAAGATCCAGGAAAGTCATTTTTAGAGTGCAGACCAACACCCAGGTGGCTGATTTTCCAAGATTGCTTGTAGATTCAAACCCATTAATGTCCTAGTCCTCAAAGGGGCTTGTTTACAGCCTCACGTGGCTTTGAGCCTACAACCAAAACCATCTATCAAGGGTTCCAGAAGGAATCATGCACACCAGTGCCTTGGTGGAAAGACTTGTCTGCCTGCTGACATTGATCTTGGCAGTGAACCTGAAAAGTACACTGTGGCTCTTCCTTAGCTGAGGTCCCAGCTCAGAGCTACTCGCACAAGGACCCCAGAGGGAGATTTACTCATCTATTGTAACCTGGAAGTCCTCTATGATGGGCTTGCCAACCTCCATCCCATAGCAGATCCCAAGGGAATCCACTCTCAGCTCCACTGCCTCTCACTGCAGTTGAGAAACTATCCCATCTGTGCTGAGATCTGCTGAGAAATGACTACCTGTCTGGGTCAATAAGAGGGGCTCTCCATCCTCCATCCTATAGGAGATTTCAAGGAAGCCCAGTCTCAGCTCCATTCCCTCCTTCTGCAGTCAAGGAACTATCCCATTTTTGCAGGGTCCTCCTGGGAGACATGTGCCCTCTGAGCCAACAAGAAAGAGCTTTATAACCTTTATCCCACAGTAGATCATGAGGGGGGTCCCAATCTCAGCTCTGGTCCCTCTCATGGCAGTTGAGGAACTATCCTACCTTTGCAGGAACTTGCTGGGTGGCATGCAGTCCTCTATGCTGAGAATGGGCTCCTCATACTCTATCTCACTAAAAATTCTAAGTGGGGGGCCCGATTTTAGCTCAAAACCTTCCTGTTATAGTCAGGCAGCTATACCAACATGCCAGCCTCTGTTTCACAGCAGATGTTGAGAGGGGCCAATTTTAGCTCTGGCCCTTCCTGCTGCAGTCAATAAACTAGCCCACTTGTGGAAGAATCTGCTGGATGATGCATGCATGTTTATCTGAACTTACTAGTTACTAGATAGGCCCACTAGCCTCATTCTCACAGGAGGTCCCAAAAGGGCTCAGTCTCAACTCTAGCTACTCTTGCTGCACTTGGGGACACAGCCCACCTGTACAGAGACCTGCTAGGAGATGTGCCTATTTGGGCCACTGGGACAGTCATTCAGCATTTTCATACAACCCCAGTAACCTTCTTGAGTCTTCCCCAAGTCCATCTGGGCCAGAAAGCTGTGTCAACCTTGGAAGTCTTCATGAGGTTCACAATAAGCCTGGGCTTAGGGTGTCTTATAATGCTGAGATAGCTGCAGTGGTCACAGGCTCTAGGAAAACAACAGCAAGTCAGCTTAGAATCCCTGGAAATCCCTCTAAAGGACAGGGAAAAACAAAGCCAGTCTGTGAAGAATGAAATAAGTACTTAATCCCTCAATGCATGGATATTATCACACTTACCCAAGCATCAGGAACATTCAGGGAAATATGACCTCAACAAATGGACAAAATGAGGTAACAGAGACCAATCCTAAAATGATGGGAGATGTGTGATCTCTCTGATAAATAATTCAAAAAGGCTGCTGTAGGGAAGCTCAATGAACTTTAAGAAAACACAGAGAATCCATTTAGAAATTAATCATAGAAATTTTAAGAGAGATTGAAATAATTAAAATCAAACAGAAATCTGGAAGGTGGAAAATACAGTGAATGAAATGAAAAATGCAATAGTGAGCATAAACAGCAGAAGTGATCAAACAGAATAATCAGTGAGCTCAAAGACAGATTGTTTGAAAATATACAGTCAGAGGAGAAAAAAATGAAAATAAATAAATAAAACTTACAGGACCTATAAGACAATATTAAAGGAAAGGATATTCAGGTTATTTGAGTTAAAGAGGGAATTGAAAAAGGGAAAGAGGTGGAAAGCTTATCCAAAAAAATAACATAAATGTCCTAAACCTGAAGAAACATATAAATTTCCAGGTACAGGAAGGTTACAGGTCATCAATCAGATTCAACACAAATAAGAACACCCCAAGACATATGATAAACAAACATTCAAAGGTAAAAGACAGAGAGGATTTGAAAAGCAGCAAAAGAAACAAAAACAAAATATAAGAGAGATCCAATACACGTGGCAGCAGCAGACTTCTCACCAGAAATTTTACAGGCCAGGAGGGAGTAGAACAATACAGCCAGAGTGCTAAAGAAAATGCCAAGCAAGAACATTTTACCCAACAAAGCTATCCTTCAGAAATAAAGAAGAAAGAGCTTTAACAGAGAAACAAAAGCTGAGGAAGTATATTGTTACTAGACCTGTCCAACAAGAAGTGATAATGGAAGTTCTTCAAACCCAAAGAATAACATGCTAAGGTGATTGTAAAACTAATATTGTAATTATAGTGTTTAAACCATTTATAGCTTTAGTAAGAAGACTAAAAGGCAAAACTATTAAAAATAAGAATATTTTAAACTATTAAAAATATTTTTGAATTAAACTTTATTAAAAATATTGTTATAAAGAAAAATGTGACTTCAAAAATTCAAAATGTGGGAGGAGAAGGTAGTTAATGTATACTGGGTTTATTTTTTCTTTGTGTACAATCAGTTCAGTTGATGTCAGTTTTAAACAACTCACTATAGCTATAAGATGTTTCATATAAGCATCCTGTGAACCACAGAGTAAAAACCTATAATTGAGATGCTAAAAATAAAAAGCAATGAGTTAAAACATACTACCAGAGAAAACCACTTACACACTAAGGAAAGCAGTAAGAAAGGAAGAGAAAAGCTACACAACTATAAAGCAAGTAACAAAATGACAGTAGTAAGGCTTTATTTATCAATAATAAGACTTATTCTAAAGCTACTGTTTCTTGAGACACTTTCTCTCTGGGGGAGCCCTGAGCTGCCGCGTAAGAAGTATAACCACACTGAGACTGCAGAACTGGAGAAGCCACTTACAGAGCCTGTTGTCAGAGTCATAGCAATTAAGAGTTATTTTTAATAACTGTCCCAGTTATTAAGACAGTGCATGTGTAAAATATACCAACAAAACAGAATAGAGGGTTCAGAAATAGATGCACACATTTGTTAAATGATTTATAACAAGAACAGTTCAGAGCCATATAAAGTATAGTTTTCAATAAATTGTCTTACACTGGAATAAAATTTACTTATAACTTTTGATAAATTCATAAAAATAAATTTGTTCCAGGTAGATTATAGATCTAATTGTTGAAGATAACACAATCAACAAAATATTATCAAGTCAAACCTATCAGCATACTATTTACAAGGAAAAAAAAAAGAATTATTTAAAATTACCAAGTGAAATTTATCCCAGAAATGCAAGGGTGGTTCAACATAAGAAAATCAATGATCAACGTAATTTATCACATTAATAAAACAAAGGGGAAAAAGCGATATGATTATCTCAATTGTTGCAGGAAATTCATATGGCAAAATTCAACACCTTGCATGACAAAAACTCAGAAAACTAGGAATAGAGGAAAAATGTTTGAACATTATAAAAGATATTTATGAACAAATACAGATAACATGATTATCTATGGTAAAAGACTGGAAGATTTCTCTCTAAGATCAGGAACAAAACAAGGATGCCCTCTTCCACCTCTGCTATTTTACAACTAGAAGTTCTAGCTAGAGCAATTAGACAAGCCTCCAATCCCTCCACAAACATTTCTTCCCTTTTTTGCTTTAGGTGCTAATCTCCTTAAATTTGTATAGCTGCATATGTAGTCAGGAAAGAATTCAAAAAGATGCACTCCAAAATAACATTCAGTATTCACTTACACAGAGAAACAGCCAACAGCTCACTCTGCTGAAAAGTATTTTTAGTTCTGATACACCAAGCACTTTGTGACATATTTTTAAGTTTAAATTGCATATCATATATAGAGTCTATAAATAATATCAACTGACAAGGATATTAATAATTCATAAAAGCATCATGTTATGGGTGCTTTCTCTCTTTTATAAACTTCCTGATTTATAAAATACATGTACATAATAATTATATCTAATATCTCATATTACGCATTTTACTTTCAGGCTATGGAAAGCTATTTTATCTATATCGAGCAATTTGAATTAAGCACAGAGTCTCACTGGGCATAAACTATTATCTCTAAAGAGTTTTCATAGGAAGCTGAAAAAGTCTGCAGTGATTGTGCACTTCAGTTTTGGTTTTTGGGTTTTTTGGTTGTTGTTGTTGCTTGCTTGTTTTTTGACTGTTTGCCTGACATTTGGCAGGTCATCACCAGGCACAAGATTAAGAGCACACTGAAATCTGTGGTCTCTATATTTTATAATTTACGGTACCCCAAAAATGCGCACTTAATTGTACAGAAAAACAACGTAAAGAACAGGGAAGATCAATATTTTGCTCAAACACGCAACTATCAAATAAAAGGGAAAGTTAAAGGCCAGAGCCCAAGCTTGTTGAGTAGTACCCTTCCCTCTAGACCTTGTGGGGATTAAAGGTAAAAAGACTTGCCGATACTAACCTATAAGAAAAGTGATAAAGGGCATTTGCTTGATAACAAAGTCTCTGCAGAGGCAGCCAGAGAATCGGCCTGAGGCTGGAGTCAGGTGCAGCGAGGATGACGCTACTATGGGCAGGAAATGGTTCGTGTGTGTCAGATCCCACCCCACGCCTCATCTCTCACTCCTGTCCCGAGAGCCAGCAGGCTCAGAAGAGTTTCCAGGCCCCCAGAGCATCTGCGTCCGCGCGGGTCTCCACGCGCAGTCCCCTGGCAGCAGCTCGTGACCATAACTGCAGCGTTGGAACCTCGCATCACCACCGAGGAAGCATCGCCCATCGCCCACCGGCCAGGGGCTGCCCCCGGAACTCTGAAGCCGGAAGATCAGGAACTAAGGGCATCAACTGCAAGATCACGCCCCTCTGGCCTTGTGATCCAGTCAGCGTAGGGCACTGTCCGGTGCGGACCGTAAGTTCCTCTTGTTCAAGTTTCAATTTTGTACCTGTTTCTCTTGCTTGCTCTCCAATACAGTGTCACGGGGGTTTTTTTGTTTTTGTTTTTTTTGTTGTTTTTTGTTTTTGTTTGTTTTTTGGCGCTGAGGAAACAGACTTGGAAAGAATACATGATATGAACAAGGTCACAAAAGGTAAGATTTGAACTCGCAACTGGTAAGATTTGAACTCGAGTTTGACTCTTTTCACTCTATCTTTCCATTTCAAGCTCAAGGGGCCATCTCAAAGGCAATTTAAACCTTAGGAGTTCATGGTTTATATAAGTCAAAAGAAACGTTTATAAATGAAAAATGTAAACACAAGAGCTTAGACTCTGACAATCTCCCCTAGCAGATTGCGGAGACTACCAAAACCATATGAGAAAAGTTATAAGACAAAGGGATTTTTCCTTTTTTTTTTTTTTTTTTTTTTTTGACACAGAGTCTCACTCTGCGGCCCAGGCTGGAGTGCAATGGCATGATCTCGGCTCATGGAACATCTGCCTCCCGGGTTCAAGCGATTTTCCTCCCTCAGCCTTCTGAGTAGCTGGGACTACAGGCACCTGCCACTACGCCCAGCTAATTTTTGTATTTTTAGTAGAGACGGGTTTTCACCATGTTGGCCAGGGCGGTCTCAATCTCTTGACCTCGTGATCCACCCACCTCGGCCTCCCAAAGTGCTGGGATTACAGGCCCGAGCCACCACACAGAGCCTATAAAGCAATTTTTAAAAATTGGTTGCAAGAAACAGAAACTATCTCTTACTAGTTTTAGCAAAATTAAGATATATTTGTTGGCCAGGTGCGGTGGCTCATGCCTGTAATCCCAGCACTTTGGAAGGCTGAGGCGGGTGGATCATGAGATGAAGACCATCCTGATCAACATGGTGAAACTCTGTCTCTACTAAAAGTACAAAAATTATCTGGGCGTGGTGGCGCACGCCTGTAGTCCCAGCTACTTGGGAGGCTGAGGCAGGTGAATTTCTTGAACCCAGGAGCCCAGGAGGCAGAGGTTGCAGTGAGCTGAGATCATGCCATTGCACTCCAGCCTGGGTAACAAGAGCAAGACTCCATCTCAAAAAAAAAAAAAAAAAAAAAAAAAAGATATATTTGTTATAATATATGAACAAGTATTTCACATAGTATGAGGGAACAGAAATCAGCCAGGTTTCCAAAAGAAATTGGAACTAGAAAATGGAAAGCCATCATAATCTTGGGAAGTTCTGTTTTTCCATCTCTGCTTTTCTCTGGGTGTCTTCTCTATCCTCTCACTCTCGTGAGAAGAGCATGATAATGCCACTGCTCCTAAATCTTTACGTCTTCTCAACAAGAGACCAGCCTGAACAATCTTGTAAAGAGTATATCATGAACTCACCTTGATTTAGATGTTTACCTTTGACCCAATCAGCTAGGATAAAAGAATAATTCTCATGGATATTAAATATGGATGCTAGGGAGAATAACAAATGTTTTATACAACTCTAATGATAGCTGCCTGTGAGCTCTAATTTTCTTATCTGTTGAACACCCTCCCTGTATTTTTATTGGTTCCTAACTTATGAAGCCCACCTTTTCAAAATATAACACATCACTTCATTTTCCAGCCTCCCCTGCATCTGGTGGAGGGATGTGACATGGGTTCTTCTGCTCAGGTGCCCCTGAACCAGACTTTAATTTGGAGGGAACAACAATGAGTAAGAGAATAAACCATGGCAACCAAAAGTCCAATTTTTTGACCCCGTAAATGTGGGGATATGAGTAATTTTCAGAGCGATTGATGTTATTGGGGCAGTCACCATATTCTATTTACTACAGTCTAATTTAAGGTTTGTAAGTGAACAACAATTTGAGAGGTAACTAATGGATTTGTCAAGATAGTAATATTGGTGGTTTCATGGAAAAACCTCTCAAGGGACACAAAGTAGTGAAAAATAAGCAGCTGTAGGTTGGATTTCCCTCTAAAGTTTTAAGTTTCTTACCTCCAAAAAAATGATTAACATTAATTTATTTTCCTATTTTCCTACAGAAAAAGGAACACATTTATTCTTCATTCCTTTATTGTATCTTAGTGAAAAATGCCACGAAATCGTCTGTGGATAAGAGAGGAAACAAGAATGTTGGGGGTAAGAACTAAATGCCACTTGAGTGAATAAATGATTATAGTGTTGCAATTTCTAAATATAAAGGGAAGAGACTATAACTACCTCTATATGAACTCCTCAAATGGAGGAATGTTAATACAAGTGTCCCGAAATGGTTATGTAGCCTCTGCATGTTCCACATTCAGCCTGAACACGTAAACTATTTATCAGGCTCATGTAAATAAAGCAGAAATTATGAATTTATCAGCTACATGTAAATAACCCAACAACATCTAAACCCACTCATGCTCTCAGAAAACCCTGACTCTGGAAATGGGCAAAGAAATATCTTTTTGACATCTATAAATTATTTCAAGTTAAGCTGACGACATGGTTCTAAATGGGATGAGCAGATTGTGGAAACTACATTCAAGAGAAGCTGCAGACCCTGCAGCTTTATGAACAGTGGTCACAATAGCACTATGTTTTCAAGATTACCCCTGAAACACACAACTCTTTTCTCAGTCAACTTCATCAAATATAGCAGGTATTCACCCATATTGCTGGATGATTTTGCATTATCCACCCATATTGTTGGATGGTAGAACCAGATTAAGATTAAAACAGCAGGATTAAAGTCTGGTTCAGGATAATCCCCAACATCACACGTCTATCATTACTTCTACTTATTTAAGATCTGCCTTATCCTCTGCCAGAATCAGACAAAGATCCTTACACAAAACAAGCAATGAATCCAATATTTTCTCTCCTCATTTTCAAGGTTATGATGTTAAAAAATGTGGATTCCTAATCCCCTTACCCACTTATGTGGTCTTGGTAGTGGGAAATAATTAGTTGAAATGTATTTGAGAATTTTAAAAAATGTGTTATTAACCATATTATTGTCTTTCTAATGAGATCTACTGTTATTTAAGAAGACACAGAGCTCTGATTTTAGTTCATGCATTGTGACATTCCAGCTGCCAGTTGTAGACAAGATGGAGTCAATACATTTCTCCCTATTCTTACCACTGATTTTATATCCAAGACTTTGGATAAATACAAGAAGATCCTGAAAAGTACAGATAAAAAAATAATAAAATTTAGGGACCTTTGAGCCCAAGGAATAATATGGTAGTGAGTTTCCTGGCTTTTCTTTTTATTTCATATATCTCAAACTGGGTGCCCAGGTGAGATATGCCTACTAATGTTTTGAAACCTGCAATTTCAAAACATAAAATAAAATACCTAGGAATAAATTTAACCAAGAATGTGAAAGGAAAACTGTAAGTAAAACTACAGAAGACTGATAAAAGAAATTGAAGAGAACACAAACAAACAGAAAGACATCCCATGCTCAAGGATTGGAAAAATGACCACACTAACCAAAGAAATCTACAATTTCAATGTATTCCAAATCCAAATACCAACATCATTTTTCATAGAAATAGAAAAAAGAATTGTAAAATTTGCATGGAACCAAAAAAGTCTCCAAATAATCAAAGCAATTCAAAATACCTAAAAGAGAGGGATTTGAGACATTTTCAACACATAGAAATATTCTAAATGCCCTGACTTGATCATTGCACATTTTATAAATGTAGCAAAATATTACATGTACCCCGCAAATATGTATAAACATTATGCCAATAAAAAATAAAATAAATTTTAAAATAAAAATTTCATGGATATAAACAAGAAAAACAAGTATATATAAGAACACAATACCAGTAAGATATAATTAATGTTTTTAAAATAGCTAACATCAGAATATATACTCTGTTTTGTTTTTTTTTTTTTTTTTTACTTTTTTTTTTTAACTTTTAGGTTCAGGTGTATATGTTTGGGTTTGTTATATAGTAAATTGTGTGTTTTGAGGGTTTGTTATAAAGATTATTTAATCACCCAGGTAATAAGCATAGTACCTAATGGGTAGTTTTTTGATCCTCACCCTGCCCCAAACTTCTACCATCAAGTAGGTCCTGACATTTGTTGTTCCTTTCTTGTGTTCATGTATGCTGGACATTTAGCTCCCACTTATAAGTGAGAACATGTAGTATTTAGTTTTCTGTTCATGTGTTAGTTCACTTAGGATAATGGCCTCCAACTCTATTCATGGTGCTGCAAAAGACATAATTTCATTCATTTTTATGGCTACAGAGTATTCCATAGTGTATATGTACCACATTTTCTTTACCTAGTCTACTGTTAATGAGCATTTAGGTTGATTCTCTGTCTTTGCTCTTAAGAATACACATTTATTCCTAGGTTTTTTATTTTATGTTTTGAAACCTACAGTTTCAAAACATTAGTAAGTATATCTCACCTGGACACCCAGTTTGAGATAAATAAAATAAAAAGAAAACCCAGGAAACTTAAATAGTGCCCATGGAACATTAACCAAAAAAACTGTGTTTTGGGGTCATAAAACAAGCCTTGAAATATTTAAAAGAATATCTATAAAGATAGAGCATGAGGGTTATCTTTATGGTGACAGAATAGTTCTGTATCTTGATTATAGTTGTGACTATGCAAATATGCTTAGGTGCTAAAATGACACATAACTGCACACACACACTGTACCAAGTTGATTCCTAATTTTGATATTGTCATATAGTTATGTAAGATGCAACTATTCTGAGAATCTGGATTCAGGACGCAAGGACTTGTCCATACTTGTTTCGAAAATTTGTATGAATTTATAATTACTTAAAAATAAAGTGTTTTTTTTTTAATTCCACATCCTTCACTAAACTCAGACTTCAGAGAAAGTCATTGTGTTCCACGCCAAGCAAGGAGATGAAATGTGTACAGCATGTCAGTCAGTGGAAAAAGTCCTATCCATTCCAATTTCCCTTTGCTTCCTGCCACAGACTGCCTGAAATACCTCTAAATGCATAGTTCTGTGTTGCCTAGGGGTTAATCTGTAAGTGAGAATAGTATTTTCATTAATTAGCCACTTCTTGGTTCTCCCCAGAATCACACACCAAAACAGAAGCTCATATCAAACTTCAAGTAGCGGTGTCCAGTGTTTTAAGAAAATCTGTGAGAAAAATGTGTCAAGAATCCCCAGCATTGTGAAAATACAGTTGCAGTAAGGCAAAAGATGCTAAGTTAGGAACCCCAGTCCTGCTCCTTCAGCTTTTTGAAACTTAACCCCTGTGCTTACCTGGAGGTGTAGGTAGGGAGGTTCAGAATGGTGGCTCATTCAGCTGTGGCAGAAAAAAGCACCCCTGAGAAATACCTATCTGAAAACTAACTGAAAGGCCTTACAGTGATATGTTAGAGGGCTCTTCATACAACTTAGAATTGTCCTCCTCCTATGTCTCAGAAACTGTCATAGCTGACCTATAACTTCAGTGGGTACGAACTATCTGAGACCTCCACATCAGGTGATAGCCACTTTGAAAAGTGACAGAAAACCAAGATCCCAAAGGTTCACTATCCTTTTATTTGTAAAGGACCCAGGACTATGATACAAATCAGTTATAGATGTTATGGAGGTGGGAAGAACAAAAGAAACAAAAGTCCAAAAAGCAGGTTTGGTAAGATCAGAGAAATCTAGGTAAGATCAGAAACACCAAGTCTAGTTGCCTGTAGAACATAGGATTGTTGACCTAGGTCAATAATTCTTGACCATACAGGTCAAGGATTGTTGACACACAGGGACTGATGAATTCTCAAAGGAGATCAATTCTTCTGGACTCCAGGACTAATGCTATATAATCCCTTGAACCAATCAGATAAACAGACTCCTAGCACAATGTTATTAGATATTTACATAGTCATTATATCTACAAACTGCTCTGAAATAATAATAAATTCTCCTTATCTGAGTTGAATGTTGAGAAATTTAAAATTCTGTTAGGTCATCACCTTCCATTTTCACCTTGGCTCTTTCTTGATGTATATCCCTTTCAAAGGTTGAACTAAAATAGTAATGAATGATAGTGTTATTTTCTTCCAGGTCATACAAATAATGACTGGCATATTTATTCACTGCCTGGGACTACTCTGGATATATTTGTTATTCACAGAAATTGTTGCATTTGGAGCCATGTATGTTCCTCTTGCACTATTAACAGGATACCCATTTTGGTCATCCTTGCTTGTGAGTAAATAATCAAATTTCTTATTGTTATTCTCTAATTTATTTAGTACATTTAATGACTGTTTATCAGTCAAGCAGTGTGCTAGAGACTGAACACTGAAAATGTACAATCTCTATTCTCAAGGAACTCATTTTATCTGGTTGAAAATAATATACCAGTATGAAAAAACTTAGATTCAAAAGCAAAATAATATTTAGATTCAAAAACTAATATCAGTGATATTATTTAATAATAAAAGCCTATTTTGTTAAAAGGCTACCTTGTACATTCTTCTCGAATATGGAAAAAAATGGTAAGCTGCACAAAGGGCATTTTAGGAAAACAGAAAGTGGTTAGTGACTATTCAACTGCCCAAATGCTATTTATTTTGCCAGTGGGGCAAGTAAAAAATAAGAGAGCATAATTGCAGCAGAAATAGTGGGATATATACAATTTGTGTAGGGAAAGAAAAATAAAATCTTCCTGTTGTATTCACAAAGTATTCGGTAAAATTGAACAGAGATTTTGAAATTGAATTTTACTGCATCTGAAAGTATGATGAGTGATGCGTCCTTGTCTTTAAAGAGTATCATAAAGAAGGATATGATGATGGTTGATGTGCCATGTTTCCCACAGAATCCTGAGTCCTAAATTAAAGACCAGTGAAGCATAATCCAACCATCATGAGATCATGGCAAGAGTATGAAAATATCACATTTGAAGTTTGATCACTCAACTAGTACTTACTGAGTATCATTATGTGCCAAGCACTGTTTTAGGTGCCTGAGATACATTAGCAAACAAAACAAAGATCCCAGTTCTTATGGAGCTTTTATTCAAGCATAGTGTGGTATGTTAAAGGATGATAAGGCTATAGAAGAGAAAGAGTAGGCTAAGGGGGACTAGAATTTTTGGGAAAGTGGCAAAGGGATATCTGTTATCATCTAAAATTCAACGGTCAAGGTAGGGTTCATCAAAAAAGTGACTCTAAAATGATCTATGGTTATATAGTACATCACCAAAAACCCAGAGGCATACAATTGCAAGCATTTATTTTTCTAGTTGTGCAGACTTGGCAGAGATTCAGCTGTGCTTGGCCTGGTTTCAAGCTATAGGACAGATCCAGATCCACTCCATATGTATCTTATTGCCTTTCGACTAGTGGCTACTAGAGACATACTGTGCTCATGTTGAAAGGCAAGAACATAATAAGACAATCCTAATAAAACAAGACCATTTCAAGCCTTGGCTTGGGTCATGTTTGTTAAAATCCCAGCTTAAACAAATAAAATCATCAAATCCTACATTAAAGAGTAGGGAAGCATAATCCAACCACCATGAGATCATGGCAAGAGTATGAAAATATATTATTGTTACCTAAAAGTAAAAAATTGTGACCAAGAATTCAAAATACCATAGTGGCATTTGAGCAAACTTGAAAAATTAATAGTTTTGACCACAAAGGTATCTGGGGAAAGAAGGTCTCAGGAGAGACAACAGTCAGATTGAAGTCTAGTCCAGATGAAGTCTTCGGTTGAAGGGTTCCTAGAAAAATGTAGTCGGTATTTCTGGAACAGAGTGAGCAAAAGCAATAGTAGTAAAAAAAAATTAGAAAAAATAATTGGGTCCCTGATAATATAGGGCTATGTAAGCCATTGTAAAGATTTTAGCTTTTACCATAATTAAAATTGTCATTATTAGAGTGTTTCATAAACAGAGTTAAATAACCTGGCTTAGGTTTTAAAAGAATCATTTTGGTTGCTGTGTTAAAAAGAGAATAAAGGGATCCAAATAGACTTTTTAGAAAGCTACTTCAAAAGTCCAGGTGATGGAATACTATACAGCCATAAAAAAGGATGAGTTCATGCCCTTTGCAGGGATATGGATAAAGCTGGAAACCATCATTCTCAGCAAACTGACACAAGAACAGAAAACCAAACACCCCATATTCTCACTCATAAGTGGGTGTTGAATAATGAGAACACATGGACACAGGGAGGGGAGCATCACACACTGGGTCCTGTCAGTGGGTAGGGGGGTGAGGAGGGATAGCAGAGGGTGGAGGATAGGGGAGGGATAGCATTAGGAGAAATACCTAATGTAGATGACAGGGTGATGGATGTAGCAAACCACCATGGCACACGTATACCTATGTAACAAACCTGCATGTTCTGCACATGTACCCCAGAACTTAAAGTATAAAATAAAAGTCCAGGTGAGACTCAAACAAAGTTGTTAGTAGTGAAGGTGGTAAAAGTAATGATTTAGACGTATGTTGAGGTAGAGCCAATTAAATATATAGATGGATTGGGTGTAGAGTGTGAAAGAAGTTAAAGATGATGCCAGGGTATTTGTTGAAGCTCATAGGAATGACTTGAAATCAACTGATACAGGGAAGACTGTGTACAGAACTGGTTTTCAGAGGAAGATGATGAGTTTGTTTTGACAATGTTGAGTTGGAAATATTTATTTAATATTCAATTGGAGATGTCAAGTAGCCTGCTGGTCATGGAATGCAGAATTCAGAAGACAGTATTAGAATAAAAGATACAGAATTCCAAAAAGGACAAGAACTCACCAACTAAGTTATCTGCTGCCTTCAAGAGACTCATCCAACACAAAAGGACTCACGTAAACTTGAGGTAAAGGGGTAGAAAAGAATATTCTATGCAAATGGACACCAAAAGCTAGCAGGAGTAACTATTCCTATATGAAGCAAAACAAACTTTAAATGGAGAGCAGTTTAAAAAGACAAAGAAATACCTTACATAATAATAAAAGGCCTTGTCCAATAGGAAAATATCACAGTCCTAAAAATATATGCACCTAACACTGGCTCTCCCAAATTTATAGAACAATTACTACTAGACCTAAGAAATGAGATAGCAACAAAATAATAGTGGGGGACACTGACGGCACTAGACAAGTCATCAAGACAGAAAGTCAACAAAAGAGCAATGGATTTAAACTATACTCTGAAACAAATGGGCTTAACAGATATTTACAGAACAATTCTACTCAACAACTGCAGAATATACATTCTATTCATTATGATAGGACACAAAACAAGTCTGAATAAATTAGGAAAATTGAAATACTATGAAGTACTCTCTCAGACCACAGTGGAATAAAATTGGAAATCAACTCCAAAAGGAACCTTCAAAACCATGAAAACACATAGAAATTAAATAACCTGCTCCTGAATGATCATGGGGTCAACAATGAAATCACGATAGAAATTCAAAAATTCTTTGAACTGAGTGATAATAGTGACACAATCTATCAAAACTTCTGGGATACAGGAAAGGCAGTGCTGAGGAAAAAGTTTAACCCTTACATGCCTACATCAAAAGCCTGAAAGAGCACAAATAGACAATTTAAGGTCACACCTCAAGGAAATAGAGAAACAAGAACAAACCAAATACAAACCCAGCAGAAGAAAAGAAATAACCAAGATTAGAGCCGAACTAAATGAAATTGGGAGGAAAAGCAATACAAAAGATAAATGAAACAAAAAGTTGGCTTTTTGAAAAGTACATAAAATTGATAGACCATTAGCAAGATTAACCAAGAAAAGAGAGACAATCCAAATAAGCTCAATTAGAAATGAAATGGGAGATATTACAACTGACACCACAGAGATACAAAAGACAATTCAAGGCTACTATGAACACCTTGTGCACATAAACTAGAAAACCTAGAGGAGACGGGAAAATTCCTGAAAATTCACAACCCTCCTAGATTAAACCAGGAAGATATAGAATCAGTAAACATATCAATAACAAGCAGTGAGATTAAAAAGGTAACAAAAAATTACTAACAAAAAAAACCCATCCAGCACCAGATGGATTCACAGTAGAATTCTATCAGACCTTCAAAGAAGAACTGGTACCAATCGTATTGACACTACTTACTCCAAAAGATAAAGAGGGAATCCTCCCTAAATCATTCTATGGGTGAAAGTCTCATTGCCAGAAAGAACCACAACTGTAGCAGCTCTGCTCCCACCTCAGGCCTGCAACACAGGAGAGCACAATTCCAGTGCTTACTGCTGAGGCACTTTCCACAATTCTAGCTGTGGAGCCTCCTAACCCACTCCAGGGCAAGAACTCCAATCTCTGGTCCAAGACTATGACCCTCACGTGGCCATGCGACAGGCTCACAGTAGAATGACTGACTTTGTATACACTCAGATTAAAAATGATGGCCTGCGGGCCGGGCGCGGTGGCTCAAGCCTGTAATCCCAGCACTTTGGGAGGCCGAGGTGGGTGGATCACGAGGTCGAGAGATCAAGACCATCCTGGTCAACATGGTGAAACCCCGTCTCTACTAAAAATACAAAAATTAGCCGGGCATGGTGGCACGTACCTGTAATCCCAGCTACTCAGGAGGCTGAGGCAGGAGAATTGCCTGAGACCAGGAGGCGGAGGTTGTGGTGAGCCGAGATCGTGCCATTGCATTCCAGCCTGGGTAACAAGAGCGAAACTCCGTCTCAAAAAAAAAAAATGATGGCCTGCGATGGGGCCTGGGTTTGGGAAAATGTCTGCAGCTTTTCCCAGCGTCTTTCCCTTTCTGTATCTCCAAGCTTTTCCAGTTAGCTCCAGAGCTTGGGAGAAACAAAATGCTCACCCTCAGCCTGGGTTGCTTAGATTTCCAATGGAAAGATGAGTCACAGAAGGAGGCTCTCTGCTTCTCTCACACACTGGGACTTCACTCACTTTTATCAGCCAGACACCATCACAGGGACTGTTTGCCCATGCCCTTTTCCCTAGGATCTGGGTGTCCTTAACAACACCAGTGAGTTTCTATTTTCCTTCTTGAATTAAAGCTTACAGAATTTATCCTTATGCACTGTTTTCTTATTTCCAAGTGGCTAGAGTGTGCTACAAGCCCCTAATTTGCCACAAAAAAAAAGTTGAAACATTATATGCAACTATTACAACACTATCACAATAAAACAATGTAACAGAATATCCTCATTTTACCAATGGAAAAAGCAAAACTAAGTTATAGGTTAAATAATTTTTCCTGAGTCACAGAGAAAGCAAAGAACAAAGAACTCAAACACAGATCCTCTTTACTTCAAAATTCTATTTAGTATTGACATGTTAGTTTCCAGATTTTTCTGGGAAAAGAACATCCCTTTCCCATACTACTAACTGACCTGTTTGTTGCTTAATGCTGTGGAAAGTTTTATGTATTTGTAAATGTTGCACCAGTGAGAAAAATAAATTTCTGATACACCATAATTGCCATCTTTCTAACAAGTGTCACGAAATGATGCAAGATCTCAGAACAAGCTACTTATGGAAGACATTATGTAATTCTTATATTTAAATATGTAAACTGAATCATTGATATTTTATGAATGACATTTTCTATTAATAAAATATTTAAGCATTACATTAAAAGTATTTTCACATGAAGTCACCGAGATATAACATTGCACAGTAGTAAATTCATTAATTGGGTGCATTTTCTTATAATTCACATATGGACTTAATTAAGTTGTGATTGACAAAAACTATGGAAACACTGATACTCCTTTTTCCGTAAAGTCACTTCAGAATGCCCTGAGATTCTATTTCCAATACATACATTATATTAGTAACCAGAGACTTTATGGCTTTCTCCCATCTCCACAAATATTAAACATCCTGGAATTATGTCCGGGATGATTTTCTCAATGGTCTCATATTCTTTATGTTAAAACATTCCAGAATTCTCCTACTTTTTAAGTTTATACATAAGCATAATGATTGGGAATTAATAAATGTGATCTTTGTTTCCAGTTTATCTTCTCAGGAGCCTTTGCAGTATTGTTAGAAAAGAGACGTTCACCATTCTTGGTAAGTCAGAATGCTTATAACAGTTCTAGAGTTGTGTTTGCAAAAAGAAGGAAAGTCAGCGAGTAGGCAGCATTGTCTCTGTGTCACTAGAAACCTACATATAATTGAAGAATAGATTTTTAAAATATAAGAAATGTAAGTTTCCATTACATTTTCAAATAAAAACAGAATACGTGCTAGTTACTGAAGTCATTGGGTTTTTCTGTTTGTTTTTCTTTTTTTTATTATTTTACTTTAAGTTCTGGGGTACATGTGCATATCGTGCAGGATTGTTACATAGATATACACGTGCCATGGTGGTTTGCTGCATCCATCACCCCGTCATCTACATTAGGTATTTCTCCTAATGTTATCCCTCCCTAATCCTCCCATCCCCTGCTATTTCTCCCCTAGCCTTCACACCCACCAACAGGCCCTGGTATGTGATGTTCCCCTCCCTGTGTCCATGTGTTCTCAATGTTCAACACCCACTTGTGAGTGACAACATGTGGTTTTTGGTTTTCTGTTCTTGTGTCAGTTTGCTGAGAATGATGGTTTCCAGGTTCGTCCATGTCCCTGCAAAGGACATGAACTCATCCATTTTTATGGCTGCATAGTATTCCATGGTATATATGTCCCACATTTTCTTTATTCATTCTATCACTGATGGGCATTTGGGTTGGTTCCAAGTCTTTGCTATTGTAAACAGTACTGCAATGAACATACATGTGCATGTGTTTTTATAATAGAATGATTTATCATTCCTTGGGTATATACCCAGTAATGGGATTGCTGGTTCAAATGGTATGTCTATTTCTAGATCCTAGAAGAATTATCACACTGTCTTCCACAATGGTTGAACTAATTTACACTCCCACCAACAGTGTAAAAGTGTTCCTATTTCCCCATATCCTCTCCAGCATCTGTAGTCTCCAGATTTTTTAATGATTGCCGTTCTAACTGGTATGAGATAGTATCTCAATTTGCATTTCTCTAATAACCAGTGATGATGAGCTTTTTTCATATGTTTGTTGGCTGCATAAATGTCTTTTGAGAAGTATCTGTTCATATCCTTTGCCCACTTTTTGATGGAGTTGTTTTTTTTCTTGTAAATTTGTTTCAGTTCTTTGTAGATTCTGGATATTAGCCCTTTGTCAGATGGGTAGATTGCAAAAATTTTCTCCTGTTCTGTTGGTTACCAGTTCACTCTAATGATAGTTTCTTTTGCTGTACAGAAGTTCTTAAGTTTAATTAGATTCCATTTGTCTATTTTGGCTTTTGTTGCCAATGCTTTTGGTATTTTAGTCATGAAGTCCTTGCCTATGCCCGTGTCCTGAATGGTTTCACCTAGGTTTTCTTCTAGGGTTTTTATGGTGTTAGGTCTTATGTTTAAGTCTTTAATCCATCTGCAGTTAATTTTAGTGTAAGGTTCAGGAAGGGGTCCAGTTTCTGCTTTCTGCACATGGCTAGCCAGTTTTCCCATTACCATTTATTAAACAGGGAATCCTTTCCCCATTGCTTGTTTTTGTCAGGTTTGTCAGATGGTCGTAGATGTGTGGCGTTACTTCTGAGACCTCTGTTCTGTTCCATTGTTCTATATCTCTGTTTTGGTACCAGTACCATGCTGGTTTGATTACTGTAGCCTTGTAGTATAGTTTGAAGTCAGGTAAGGTGATGTCTTCAGGTTTTTTGTTTTGTTTTTTTTTTTTTTTTGGTCACTGTTATATTTCATTAGTTATAAAAATAACTTGGGATGTATGAAGTTAATAAGTTAAATTTCTACATGATAAATCATTTAATGCAAATGAAAATTCAATGAAGACATAAATATAGCTATCTTAAAATGACCTAGTTTCTGTTACTACCTTCTTTTTTCTTGCTTCTTTCTTCACATGTCTAGGAACTTTTAATTGTATGGGGTCTACTGCGTATGAGGTGTTTAAAAGAGTCTGGATTATGTTGATTCCATTTAGTGAGTATTACATTTTATATTGATAGGAAGTGAGGTAAAAGAATAAGAAATTAGAATAATTATGTATGTAAATGCTAAGAGATTGACTTCTGGAATGGCAGACTGAGAACACCATGAAATCTTCCTTTAGCAAAAACAGAGAAAGCACTGACAAAACAACCAAAAGTAATGATTTCAGAGCATTGGAAATTAATCAAAGCCACAGCTAAAACAGAAAGTTATCTGAGATACTAGTAAACTTCAGAAAGATGGAGAGATCTATAATGTTGTCATTTGAGGCTATTTCAATTCCCTCTCCCTTGAAGCTCATTGGCAGAGTATGTATTAAAAGCCAGCAGTATAGCAACCAGCTGAGAGGACTGATGTCATGTGATGCTCTATTAAAAGTGCTATCATCTGAGCACAGTTGATATTTTGTCTGAAATTGCACCTCTGTTCCCAGGATATTTTGGCTATTTTTTGGACAAAGATTTCAGCTCAGTGAAAAAAAGTCTTACCACTGGATGGCTTAAACAATATCAATCTGCTAGGAAAAGCACAGCTGAATAAAACTATGAATTCAGGTAAATAAGAGCTTGGTCAGAAATTTAAAAGAAAATCCTGAATATCTAGATAATCATAAGGAGCTTTGAAAAGCTCTGACATATTGTTGGAGCTTTAAAGTCCCTCACAAACACAGAAAGCCATGTGCATGCCCAGGAGACAGCTGAGAAAGAAGAAAGGCCCACCACTCATTTACTTCAGGCTGACTCTCAGGACCTAGGCAAAGAAGAAGTGAAAGCTAAGGCTGTTGTATAAACTAACTGAAGTTTTAAGCACATATTCTCATACACACTATCCTTGGCAAAGGATTATCAACCAATATTAAATTACACTGAGTCAGGGTGGCTCCTAGGAAGCAGATAACCCATGGGCTTGACACTGAGGAATAAAATATTTACAGAATTAATCCTGGAAACTTAACAAAGAAGAAGGAATAAGAAAAACACAACAAAAAAAGCAAAAATAGCAAACCCTGAAGGTGAGGAAGCAATTAAATAACAAATATGCTGTAATATATTATGTGAAATGTCAATTTTTCTAAAAACTATAAAACATGCAAGGGAACTGAAACATATTTTATGTACATAGGAGAAAAAAAGCAACCAACAGAAAAATATTCCTATGGGCGCTAAAATTTGTTACTTACTACTCAAACACTTTAAATTAGATCTTTTAAGTATTGTCAGAGAACTAAAAAAAAATTGTTTAAAGAATTAAAAGAAAGCATGAAAGTGATCTCTTACCAAATACAGAATATCAAGAGATAGAAATTATAGATTTTTAAAAATTAATATGCTAATTGAAATTTCCATAGAAGTCACTTGAACACATAACTGAAAATATACACAATAAGACATAAAACCATCTCCAGTGACGCCAGGCACAAGTTCAGTTCAAACCATCCTAGACTCCAGACTAGTCCTATGGACCCAGACTCCACACCTGCCCCAGCACCAGGCCAACCCCAGGCTGCAGGCCAGTCTCTGTAGCTCAGGTCTCCAGAGGACCCAGGGTCTAGGCCTGTTCCAGCAGACCCAAGGTCTAGGCCCACCCCAGTGGACTCTGTTGCCAAAATGAGCCACATGGACTGAGGCACCAAGACCACCCCTACAGACCCAAGCTCAATTTCAATTCCCATGAACTCAGAACCCAGACTCATCCCTACAGAATTGGTTTAGACTTGCTCCAGTACCAGGTCAGCCCCATGAACTCAGACTACAGGCCCATGTCTGTGGTCTCAGATGCCAGGCCCATTGCAATATGTGAATGACCCCTGAAGATTCACATTCAAGGTTCATACCAGTGTCAGGTCAGCTCTTGTAAATTCAGGCTTCAGGCTGGCCCCCATCGACACAGAATCCAGGCCCATCCCTACAATCCAATCAACACATCCACCCTGGTATATCAAGGCTACAGGTATAACCCCACAGAACCAGGATTCAGGGCCACTTACCTGCTAACCTGGTATCAGGCCAGCTTGCCTGAGGACTCCAGCAGCAAGCCAGCCATACCAGATGTCCCTCCCAGAATCTTTGAATGAGTTAACTAATGAAAGTGAGGCAGGACTCCACACAGCTGAACCCATGAATAGAAAGGGCACACTGCCTAACTCTCTGGGACACCCAGAGCCACAAGCCACCCCACCTGGCCCAGTGGCAGCTGTTGCATCTGTTGAGCCCTCCTGAAGGACATGTGCATCCCTTGGCCACAGAAGGCAAGCCTGTTTCCAGGCATCCTTGGTACCCAGTTGACTGTGGATGCCCCAGTTCCTGACAGGGCTGAGCCAGCCTCTGTTCTGCCATAGGCATGTGCTGGCCCCATCTGGGTGGGTGAGAAAGGCGGTCCTTGGCTACCTTCTTGCTCAGATGCCATTTGCTTCCCCTCTTAGCCCCAGGTCCACATGCCTGGGAAGCTGCTCTGAAACTGTCCTGGCCCTACTCCCCTCTAAATCTGTGACTCTGGGAAAGGCTCATCATTCCAAACGGACAGAACCTGCTTCTGCTTTCCCCTTGAAACTAGAAATTGAGGCTTCAATTTGCTGTTGCATCATCTGCAACTGGGAGAGACAGTGTTGGGGCGAGGAGGTTGGGGAGGGATAAAACTGGGAGAAATGCCTGATGTAGGTGATGGGGGGATAGAGACAGCAAACCACCATGGCATGTGTGTACCTATGCAACAATCCTGCAAAATCTGCACATGTACACCAGAACTTAAAGTACAATGAAAAAAAAAAAAACAGATGTAACAGAGGTGTTGGGATTATCACACTGTGATTTAGAAAAGCTATGATTAATACGCTAAGAAATCTAACGGGAAAAGGTGAGCAACATGCAAAAACAGATAGGAAATGTAAGCAGAGAAATAGAAATACTAAGGAATGATAAAACGGAAATGCTAGAAGTAAAAAACATAACAGAAATGAAGAATGCCTTTGATGTGCTCATTAGTAATCTGGACATGTCTGAGAAAAGAGTTAGTGAGTTTAAGGATCAGTAAACAGAAGCAT